GCCCCCCACCAATGTTCACCACTCCAGTGTTCCCTACCCTGGTGTCCCCCACCACAATGGCTCCCACTTCATAATTCCCCTACTCCAATGTCCCCTATCCTAGTGTCCCCCACCCCAATGGCCTCCACCCCAGTGTCCCCTCACTCCGGTGTTCCTTCCATCCCACTGTCCCCACCCCAATGCCCCCCACCCCTACCCTGCAGGACAACAGAGCACCATTTCCCTGCCAGCAGCGATGCCACCTCCACAGCTTTTCTCAAGCAGGCTCTGGGAACCAGGGGGAGAGAGGGGTCAGTACTCCCCAAAATGACCTCATTGCCTCCTGGGGGCAACCAACCTCGCAGCCCCTGCGAGACGCTGACCCCCATCCAACGCAGCTCCCTAGAATGCTGAGCTTGGATTTGGGGGGCTGTCCCCCAACCAAGGCAGTGCCCCAACACCCTGGGATTGGTTTGGGGGCACCCAAAGTGGGGGTCTTTAGGGTTGCACCCCCTAAACCTCACCGGACATGCTCCAGCCACCGCGTCCCTTCCAGCGCTGACAGCCACTTCTCATCAGCTGCTGCACCTGGTTTGGATGGAGGGGAGAGGGTCAGACAACGAGAATGGACCCTGCCCCCTCCCCCCACCCTCCTGTGATCCCCACTCCTCTTACCAGGCAGGCACAGCGCCTGCAGCCTGAGGTGTGCCAGCTGGATGTCAGGGGGGCTGGGCAGCTCAGCGGTGTCAGCCAGCACACATGGCCTGCATCCAGCACCCAGCAGCACCTCCAGGCACCTGGGGGGGGTGGGAACAGCACCCTGCATGGGGCCGGACATAGTGATCCCCCCCCCCCCCCACCCCCCCCACTCCCCTCTAGGATGGGATTTACCTGATGTCCTCACTGCCTGGCTCTGAGGCTGCGTGGAAGCCAGCGGCTCTCAGCAGGTCACTGCCATTCGGGTGGTGCCAGCACAGCCGCTGTGTGCAGATGGGACCCCCATCATGTCACCCCCCCCACATCACCCCACATCACCCCACATCCCATTACTCACAGCCACGCGGCGCTCTTGGAAGTGGGCGAACGTTCGCTTGAGGTCGTGGTCCAGCAGCGTGCTCGGCACCCACAGGTAGCGGGGAAGGCTGCAGGTGGATGTGTGTTGGGGTCCCGCATGGATTGGGGGCACATCCCACGCACCCCCCCACACTGTATCTACCTGGCGGCCATATCAAAGCGCTCATTGACGGCGCTCACCCTCCAGCCCACTGCCCCCAGGCGCTGCAGCTCTCGCTCCCAATCCTGGAGGCTCTCGAAGAGCAGCGTGGGGGGGGAGCCTTCCTCCTCATCATCTCCCATCGTGGCATCCACGTGGCTCCTGCTGTCCCCTGGCCAGGTGGCTGTCTCCCGTGCTTCAGCGATGGCGTTGGCCACCTGTGGCAAGGAGCGAGGGCTGAGTGCTGCGACCCCACGTAAGCCCTCTCCCTAAAAATTGCTGTGTGCCCCCCTGCCCCCATCCTCAACCTCATCTCCCATTGTGGTATCCACGTGGCTCCTTATCCTGGTTGCAACCCTGTCCTCATCCAGCCCCATTCCAGTGCGTCCCAGTCCCATCCAGCCCCATCTCAGTGCGCCCCAGTCTCATTCAGCCCCATTCTATTTGCATCCCAGTCCCCACTCACTCTTATCCTGATCCCAACCTGGTCCTATCCCAATCCCATCCAGACCAAATCCAGTGCACCCCAGCTGCATCCTGATCCCAGTCTGCCCACACTCTGACCCCAAGCTGGCAGCATCCCTGCCCTTATTCCATCCCCAACCCAGCTGCATCCCACTCCCATCCCAGCCACATCCTGATCCTATCCTGCTCCTATCTCAGCTGCATCCCAGCCCTGTTCCAATCCCATCCCAGTTGCATCCTGACCCCAAGCTGCACACATCCTGACCCCAAAGGGCTGCAGCCTGACACTATCCCAGCTTGCATCACTGCCTTTATCCAGCCCCAACCCAGATGCACTCTGCTCCATCCCAGCCATGTCCCTGTCCCCACCCGCCTGTGTTCTGACCATACCCCAGTACCATCCTGATCCCATCCCAGCCGCATCCCGACTGCAATCTGTCTACATCTTGACCCCAAGCTGGCAGCATCCCTGCCCTTATTCCAGCCCCCACACAGCTGCATCCCAGCCCCATCCCAGCTGCATCCCAGCTGCATTCCAATCCCACATCCCAATCCCCACACTTGTGCAATGGTGTTGGACACCTGCAGCGTGGAGCCCAGGGCCGACACCGTTTTGGGTGAGCCCCCACCTCAAACGCCATCCATCCCCTCACCCGGAACGCCTGCAGCCCCAGCCCGTTCTCTGGGAAGTGGAAACGCAGCAGACGGAAATCCTGGCAGAAAACTGCCAGCTCCTCAGGTATGAAGGTGAGGGTGGAGGAGGCCGTCAGCACCGTGGGTTTGGTGAAGCTGCTGGCTGAGAAAGGGGGGAGGTGGTGGCCATCAAACCCCCCCTGGGTCATTGCAGATGGGGTCAGGGCTGTGTCCCCATCCTGTCCCCTACCTGCCACCAGTGTGCGGATGCAGCGCAGTGCCACGCTGTAGTCACTCTGCAAAAAGGGGCTGAAGCTGGGGGGCTGCAGAGGGGGGTGAATGATGGGAGGTGGCCCAGAACCCTTAGGGGCAGCAGGGCAGGAGCAGGGCCTCACAGCCCCATCCCCACCCCACGTCCCACAGAGAGGAGCTCCCAGGGTGTAAGGGGCAATGGGGGTCATATCCAAGGAGAGGTTGGGTTTGGGGAGGGGAGGTAGGGGGTCAGGGTGCAAGAAGGGATGGGATCACACTGGGATCAGGATGCAGTCAGGGCCAGTCTCAAATGCAGCTGGGATGTGGCTGGGATGCTACTGGTATAGGATCAGGATGGGATCAGGGTGGAAACATCCAGATGGGGACGATTGCAGCTAGGACTGGGTCAGGATGCAGACAGCTTGGGGTCAAGGTGAGGGTAGACTGGGGTCAGAAGGCAGCTGGGATGGGACTAGGACACAACTAGGATGGGATTCGGATGGGGCTGGGATGGGATCGGGATACAGATGGGTTGGGGCTAAATGAAGGCAGGGATGCAGCCAGAATCACTGAATCACAGCATGTTTTGGGTCAGAAGGGACCTTTGAGAGCATCTCATTCCTCCCACCCCACTGCCAGCAGGGACACCTCCCAGCACACTGGGCTGCTCGAAGCCCCATCCACCTGGCCCCACGGATGGGGGACCCACAGCCCTTCTGCGCAGCCTGTTCCAGCATCTCCCCATCCTCACAGTAAAGTATTTCTTCCTAATATCTAGTCTGGATCTTCCCTCTTCCAGTTTAAAGCCATTCCCCTCACCCAGTCGCGACATGCCCTTATCAAAAGTTTCTCCCCAGTTTTCCTGTCAGCCCCCACCAGGTAAAAAGATATGGGTAGACTGGGGTCAGGATGCAGTTGGGATGTGGCATGTATTGGTTCTGGATGGGAATGGGATGGATCCAGGGTGGGATAAGGACATGGGTGGATGGGGACTGGGATGCAGCTGGGATGGGACTGGGATGCTGCTGGGAGTGGGAGAGGGTCAGGTGCAGCCGCTTGGGGTCAGGGTGTGGTCAGCTTGGGGTCAGGATGCAGCTGGGATGGGACTAGGATGGGACACGATCGGATGGGGAACAATGATGCAGACGGGTCTGGAATGGAGCACGGGTGGGTCCGGGAGGGGATGAGGACACGGGCGGGTGGGGACAGGGATGCTGCTGGGTCACGGTCAGGGCGCAGCCGACCGGTGAGGGTGCAGGCAGCGTGGGATGAGGACGCAGCGGGGATGGGAACCCGACGGGCCGGGGTGGGACCGGGGTTGGTCGCGGTGCGGCGATGTCCCCACCTGCGCTCCGGGCACGAACGCCACGCGGACGTTGGTGCAGAGCAGAGTGCCCCGCACGGAGCCGCCCCCCCCGCGGTGCCGCACTTCCCGCGCTGCCTCCAGAACCACCTCCCCTACGGGACGGGACGGGATGGCACGGGACCCCCCAATAGGGCCGGGTCAGTGCCCCACATAGCGGACGCCCCCCCCTACCTGGCAGCACGGGGAGGGCCGAGAGGCCACAGCGCGTCGCGCTCATGGCGGAGGACTTTGCCCGCAGAGCCCCGCCCGGACCCCCCCCCCGCGGCCCGCGGAGCTCCGCACGGCACTGCCCGGGGGGGCGGGGCGGGGGGTGGGGCGGCTGCTGAGACCGCGTAGGGTACGCGGGTCTGGTTGGGGTACAGCTCCCCCCACCCAATAAGGAGGGCGCGGTGCTGGATGTGGAGTGTAGAAGGCTGCAAGTTCCTCAGTCCCATAGGGACGTATGGCGCTAGGGGGGAACCCCGTGAGCCCTACGTGGGATGGGTAGTGCTGGGGGTGTGCAGTTCCTCCCACACCAGCCCACCGGGTTATATGGCGCTGGATGGGATGGACTGCAGGTTCCTGAACCCCATAAGGTTGTATGGGGTTAGAGGGGCGAGGGGGTGCAGCTCCTCCCTCCCTATGATGTTGTATGGTGCTGGAGGTAGGTACACAGGTCCCTGGGTCTTATATGTAGTGGGGTAGGCTGGGGGGGTCTGCATTTCCCACCCCACAAGGTTCTGGAGGACAAGTAGATCCCCACACCCTATAAGGGTTTATGGGCCAGATGGAGGTGCACAGCTCCTGGCACCCCAAAACGTTGGCGCAGTGCTGGGGGAGAGCATGCATCTCCCTGCACCCCACGAGGGGTGCATAGTGCTGGACAAGGGGCCTGCAGGCCACAAACCACATAAGGTTGTGTGGTGCTGGATGGGGGGCTGCAACTCTCTGAACATCATAAGGGTTATATGGTACAGGAAGGCTGGGGAGGGGCTGCAGCTGAGTTCTATGGAAAGGGGGAGGAGAGGCTGAGGGGGTGCAGTTCTCCCCCACCCTAAAATTTTGTAAGGTGCTGGGGTGGTTGCACAGCTCTGTGAGTCATATATAGGGTTGGGGGGGGGGGGGCTGGAAGGGGTTGCATCTCCCCCCACTCCATAAGGTTGTATGGTGCTGGTTGGCGGGGGGGTCCTGCAGCTGGCATCCAAATAGGTTGCTACAGTACTGGGGGAGGACAAGTATCTCTCTGAATCCCATAAGGGATGTGTAGTGCTGGAGGGGGGTGATGCATCTCCCCACCACCCCATAAGGGAGGCACAGAGTTGGACAAGGGTCTACAGGTTCCTGAAACCCATAAGGGATGCCGGAGGGGAGTGCACAGCTCCCAGCACCCCAATAGGTTGGCATAGTGCTGGAGGACATGAATCTCCCTGACTCGTATAATGGAAGCACAATGCTGCACTAGGGACATGCAGCTCCAACATCCCATAAGGGATGGATGGTGCTGTAGCCCACACCTCTCCCCAGCCAGCCCCACACAACCCCCAGCCCCTCTAGCCCCCCCATGACTCATCAGACAGCCACCCCCACTTTTTGGCCCTATTTATCCACAGCCTTTTCAAGACCCCCATGATGGACCCCAGGGGCCACAGCTGTGCATCTCAGGCCAACCCCCAATACTGCACCTGTAGGAATATGGCACATGGGGCCCTGCTGGGGCTGTGGCTGCAGTGCTGCACAGACAGGAGGAATTTCCTGCAGGCCCTCAGCCAGGGCCAGATGCCAAAGCGCAGGGTCAGCCTGGGATACCAACATACAGCACAGGAGAGCAGCTCCCAGGTCAGGTTCTGTGGGGGGTTTTGGGATCTGACCCCAACACAGAGCAGGTCCACCCCACAGAGCTGTGGGGCTGCAGCTGCCCCTTTCTCCTCCTGCCTCCATTCAAGTGTCCCACATGCAGTGCTTTATGGGGCTGGGTTGTGTCTGTGCTGTGCTTCGAGCATCCATCCAGCAGTGCATAAGGAAAAGGGTCCCCTAAAAGGCCAAGATGGAGGGAGACAGCAGTGAGTTATCTTTGAAACTGGCATTTAGTACCCAGCAGAGGGAAATCTCCTCAAATGAATGGGAGGAAAGCCCGCTCAGACCCCGCAAGCCCAGAGCTGGGAAGGCTCAGCCCACGGCGCAGGAACGAGGCGGGCATTAGGAACAGTGTTTATTGTCAGTGAGGCCATGGAAGCAGAAAGGAGTGGGTACAGCCCGATACAACGCGCCATCCAGTGCTGGTACAGCTTTTTTTTTTTTTTTTTGGGGGGGGGGGGGGGGGGGGGGAGGAGGGGAAAGGTCACCAGCCTTAATTCCAGTAAAAATTGAAAAAGAAAAGCATTTTGTCCAGATCTGCAGAATTCATTCAGGTCACCTCTTGTGCCACAGCGCCCCATCCAGCGATGGACATGTGGGTCCAAACTGGAGCTCAGCCTGCAGGTGGGACAAACTGGGGATACCCAGCACTCCTCCAACCACACCAATAAGTGCACTTGAAGCCCTCAGCATCGCTGCAGCCACCCCGTCCCCAAGCAGCTTGGTGCTTCCCCTTAGAAGAGGTGTGTTGGAGATGGGCTGCTCTCCCTCCAGCCCCATTCATAAAGATGGGTGTCTAACCCCAGAGCTGCCCCAGGCTGCAGTGTGGCCCTAGGAAAGAACCAGTGGATGGTGAAGATCTTTGCAATTAATAGAATTTGTATTGAAGGATCCCTTAAAAAAAAAAAAAAAAAAAAAAAAATGTCGTTTCACCATAAAGGAAACAAAAATGACCTGAAAAAATCCCAAAGAAATGTGGCCACTGCCACCTGTGAGGTCAGGGGATGCTCAGGGTCTGTGCTTCATAGAAAAAATACACTTTAAATCACTTCACTGGAAACCTCATTTTGCCTGAAGGTTTGTTTGTTCGTTTTTCCTCCCCAATTTTGTTTGTAAAAAAGCTACAAACCCCACAAACCACAGTATGAAGGGCAGAGCACGTGGGGAAGGTCCTGCACCATGCACTGCTGCATGTGCAAAAACACCAAAATGGGAAACTGATGCACCCATGTCCCAGCAGTGGGGTAACAGCCCTCAGACCCCTTTCTCCTCTCCCCCAGGAGACGCAGGGGGGACGCAGCATTCCTCCAAAAGCTATTTTCTCCCCCAAAACCCTTAGGAGGAGAAGCAGCAGCAGTTCCACAGGGGGTAAGAGATGGTTTTCTGTTGGGACGACCCCGTGGGCACCTGCACCAACACTTCCCACACCCATGGGTTTTGTTTTTTTCCCTGAAACCAACATGGTTGCACGTATCCATCCAACCACTGCTCTCCTACACTTCTTCCCTCACAGCACTTTGCTATCACCAAACACAGAGCGGTGCCAAACCCAGACCCCGGTTTGCTCAGCCTGCTGCTGGAGTCTCTGAAATGGAGATGTTTCCCCCAGACCATGGCCATGGGGACGGGGAAGCAGTGGGCTCCGCCTTCCCCCCTCTCCTGCACTGACCATGGTTGCGGCATGGAGCATCCTACTGCAATGAGAGCCCATGCAGCCCCCTGCACTGACCGTGTGCCGTTCCCATAGGGGCGGGCGCTGAGCCCCTGATGGGACCCCACTGGCACTGCCACTACTTCACATCGCTCACAGCCGACCTACACTCAGATTAGCGGTGGGTAGGGAAACCAAAAAGAATTCAGTTAGTGAAACTGGTGAAAGAACTCTGCTATTTACAACCAGCTGAGCTCCAGCTGAGTCCGGAGTGTGCCCTGCAGCACCACAGCACTGCGCTAATGGCCACCTCCGGGAGAAAGGTCCTAAGTTCTGTGGGATTTCATACATTAAATGGGCAGAATCTGCTGTCAGAACCAAGATCTGTGAGTAAGGCTCTGGGCGATGGTCCAGGTAAGTACACTTGCACGCTCTCTGCCCGGTCCTCCCCGTGAAGGGCAGCAGCACAGGGAGGGATTGCATAGTTGGATGCCTTCTGAAAAACAACAAGGGAATGTTGTAAAGCTTTGAGTTATCGGCAGAACTCGTCTTTTATTTCCATGTGGTAAAATGCTGAACCTCACTCTATACAGGACTGGGCCAAGGATTGAATCCGGTTTGGGATCCCTAATTACAAAAAAATCTGTGCAAACATTGCAGTGCTGAATCATAGCCCCCTCTGCGAGACGTGAATGCCGGGGACTGCTCCGACCGCTGCAGGGCTGAGCGGGGAACGCCGTGGACCACATCGCGTGTGAGAGTTACGCAGTTACGGGTTCGCTTTCCTTACATGTCACTCTTTAGCCCTATTATCAAAAATATCTTTAATATTACTCAGCCTAAAGGTCAGTTACGTGGCTCAGCAAAATGGAGCCAAGTTAATTCTATTCAGCAGAACAGAGGTAGTATGGAAGTAGCTTGCTCAAGTAGAAGGTTATCGCGTGTATCCACGTAGGGCTGGAAGCTATGGGCAGCGCGGCGCGGCGTTACCTCCTGTGCTGCAGGGCTCTGTCCTCTCTCCTGCTCCACGCTGGAGGTATTGCTGGTGGGGCACCGACCTGCCTTCTGTCCATCTCTGTACCGCCAACAGAACGGCTCTGCACAGTGCTGCTGAAGGAAAACTCAACACCATTCAGCACTGAGACCATCCTCAGTCCCCCTCCCACCCTCCTGAAGAGCTTAAAAAACAATATTTAAAAAACAGAGCTGAGCCTGTGGGTGGGAGGGCAGAGCCCCATGTGGTGCTGAAGGCGCTGAGACATCCGATGGGCTCAGTTCAACTGAAACAAAATGATAACATCCCATTCCAACTACATTTCTCTCAGTACCAGGAAAAAAATAAAGTGTTAAAAAAAAAAAAAACTCTCCGTTGAAAGGTCTGTGACTTCCTTACTGAGATCGTAGGGCATTCTGCTCCATTCTGGGAAGCACTATGGAGTGAGGCGATGTCAGGGTCCAGCTGAAAGCTTTGGTCTGGGATACGGATCGCTGGGAACCCTCTTCCAACCACAGCTCCCACCTGAGCACACCCTGTGCTGATCCCACCTAGGCAGGATGAGCCCTCTGCCTGAGTCTCTGCAGGGAGGGACCGCTCCTCCCAGCCCCTCTCCCAGATCTTCTCCGCAGCACAGAGCTGAACGCCTCTGTCAGCCCACTCTCTCCTTCCAGCCAGCGAGAGGAGCGCGGGGATAAACGACACCATTATTGCATTCCCCACGTGCCGCAGGTCCAGCCAGCAACGCCCTGGCAGCACTCAGAACCTGTGCACCAGCGCCTCGCGCTCTTTGCGTTTCAGCTCCTCTTTGTAACAGCAGGAGCAGAAATTCCCAGTTTCTGGGTGCCCATAGAAGCTGCAGTTTGGCTGCTTGCATTTGGTCTGCTGAACGCTATAAAGAACCCTGCCTCTCGTTCTGTCCACAGGTGCTCCCTTCTGCGGGCTGTCCTGCTCCAAGTACTCCCGGTAACCATTGCTGTGCTGGGGGGGAATGCAGGCAGGAGCCTCGCACTCCGTGGGGAAGCTGGGGTGAACGTCCATGTCTGTGGGAGAGAACCTTCCCACGTGGGAACGCTGCGGCCGCACCTGAGCGCAGTGCCGGGGCAGGGTGGCATAGGGGGGGAGGCTGCTGCAGGACCCCCCTGCCACCTGTCGCCGACCCTCGTGGTAGCTGGGGGGGTGCGACCCTTCTGCACTGCCACTGACCACGGAGGGCCTGGGGAAGGTGAAGACGCCTGAGTAGCTGGAGGGAAACGCAGCCATTTTAGCTCCGATGGCCAAATCTGGGGTGTGGATGGTGTACGCTGGAGGGGGCTGGGGGTACACGGGGCAGTGCAGATCTTCCTCACCCCTCACCTCCACCTCTAGCTTCTTGGCAGGGGCAGCGCTCCCCAGTGCCTTCTTCTCAGCCTCCTTTTGCTTCTGCTCAGCCAGGAAGCGCTCCTCAGCATCCAGGAGGTACTGCTGGATCATCTCCTCCTGATACTGGTGCCGGTGGCCGGTCTTCAGGTGGCCAGCGAAGATGAACTTGCGTTCCCCTTGCATGGCAGCACGTAGGATGCTGAGGCTCAGCCGCACATCGTTGCTGTACTTGTAGGGGTCCGAGGGCTTCTCGGAGGCTGCTTTACCCATGCAGCTTTTCTCCCCAGGAACCGAAAGGTCTCCCTGGGAAGATTCCTCTTTGCTGCCTTTTCTCGTCTTCAAGGATCCCTTTTTCTTCTTCTCCAGGGTGTCCCCCTGCCCATTGCTCACACCTCCCTTGATAGTTTTGCTGTGCATCAACCCACCCATGTTCTTTTTTAGCTTACTTCCCAAAGTCTTGCCAAAGCTGCCCAGCTTATTGGCAACTGAGTCGGCCCGTTTTTTATCCTTTTCCTTGTCCTTTTCTCGGTCTTTCTTTGGTTTCTCTTTGTCCTTGCAGCCCCTGCTGCCCCCATTGCTTGCTGAGCTGCTGCAGACCGACTCCTTGTCTGACTCTCCTGACTCCGCAGCTGAACGGGCATCGTCCCCTGCTGAGGCTGTGGGGGATTCCGGCTGGGCCAAAGGTGCCTGGAAGAAAGAAAACACATTGAGCTGCTCAGACAAGATTTTTCAGGCTGAAGGTGAAGCAGAGACGGAGGTACGTGCTAGGAGAACAGAGAGGATGAGTGGCGGCTCTCAGATCCAGAGCTATTGTATATCAGAGATGCTGCAGCAAAGAGCGACCAAATATCACCACTCAAGCTGTGCTGGAGATGATACCTTAACAGCTTCAGGCAGATCAGAACAGCTCACAAGGAAGTTCAGGGATTTTTTGCCAAAAGAGGAGACAGGAGGAAAAGAATAAAACCAAGAAACCTCCTCCACTCTTGGCAGCCTGGGGACATCCCCATCACCGGGGCAGCTGCTGTGGTCCGGCGATGCATCACCACTGAGATGCTGGAAACAGATGGAAGTTTTCAGAACTCTATGAGCCAATGTAAGGTCCCAAGAAAGCTCCAGTCACACCATGACACTCAAGGCAGCTTCTGGCGGCTGTAAACCAACGCTCAGTGTTTGTCTTGGAACAAGCAGCAGCTGTCTGTGCTGCCAGACACCTACACAGCAGGATGCATGTGCAGCAGGACGCACAGGGGCGTGCCTCACATTTGCGTGAAGGGTAAAATCAGGCTTGAAAAGCTCTACAAAAAAGCGTGTGCACCAAAACACAGGCTGTTTATCTGCTCAGAGCAACGTCAGCCACAGTGTGTAATGGAGCACAGAACCTCACGTGAAGCCAGGAGATGACTTCACCTCTGCGGCCCTGCAGAAGGGAGGTGTAAATAATTCAGCAAAGAAAACACTCCTCATCTCTTACCTGCATGTCACAAGGCAATGTGATCCATTTAACATTCATGTAGCTGTGCAGCAAGTGCAGCTTTGCTTCCAATGAGAGCGTCACACTGAAATTTAAAGTCAAGCAGAAGAGGGTTACAGTCCATTTCACTCTATAATAAAGGTTCTTTTTTCCATATTTAGTTGTCTGTTTTAATGTATTTTAATAGATCAGTTAGAAACTACCAAGACAACAGCAATACAAAAGTCAACATTTTTATAAGTCTCGCAAACCTTTCAAATAAAGCCAAAATAAGTATGTAAGGAGACTCCTGTGTATCAGAATTGAGTTTGCTACGAATTACAATCAACTTGGCAAATAATCCTTACTTGCATGTGAGACAAGTAACAAGAAAGCAGATATCACAGATCTAATTAGAGCTACTTTCAAAATGATTTTCCTCTTTAAAAATAAATAAATAAATAAATTTTAAATAAAGTAAAGATGTTTTCTCAACAATTTCCACTTGCCAATTTTTTTCCCCACTAAAAACACAGATATTTCCTATTGGCTCAGAATTCTTCCAAGGAGATATCTGTATCTCTTAAGCCTGCCCTGAGCTTGAATACTCTGACCTCGGAGGTTTCTACATTTCCTAACCCAAAGTCATATGATGGGCAAGTCATGCTCCCAGCTCTCCCACCACTATGCCACTCCTGGTAATTTCTGGCTCAATAACAGGAAATTCGCTCCTTCAAAATGATGACAGGACTTGCCCACAGCCTGAGCCTAAAATAGGATGGGGCTGCCTGCAGGCTGTCCTCCAATTCCAGGGCCCACAGTGGAAGGTATTTGCTTTCTTAAACGGGGGGACATAGGAATGGAAAAATACACCTTTCTCATGTCTGCAATACAGGCTACAGCAGCTGGTCCTCCTTTGCTTCTCAGGTATGATCTAAGTCTGATCTGAACATCCATATAACATTTGGAACAATCACCTCTTACCCTGGAGAGGGAAGCTGGTAAGATGTCATTATCTCACCCAGAATATTCTATCAGAAACCCCCCCATGTTTTTGAGCATAACGAAGGAAGTGCCACACTGTGACAACTCTGTGCCCCATCACCAACCTGGCCAGTTTGACGTTGTCACTGTCATCCTTTCCCCACTGCCAGTCCTTCCCAGGATCCACTGCAAAGTGCATGGGGAGCAGCTTATGCTCAGAGTCTGTCAAGGGGATCACAGCTGCACAAGGAAGAGAAAGAAAGGCTCTTAGCACCCGAGAAGATGGGATTTGGCATGCCATGCAGAAGTGACAGAGCCTGCCACTTCTGTGCTGCATCTCATCAGTCCCCAGAACTGCAGCTGACACAGAGCCTGACATTCATCTCCAGCACACACTCCAGGTAAATCCAGCTCCCCTGCAGCCTGCCCGAGCCCTCTGCCACATTGCCAGCAGTGGCAGCTAGGCTGCAAGCGCTCACCAAGAACAGCGTCAGCTCTGATGGCCTCTGCTGTCACACCAAAGCACACGCGGGCTCTGCGATCACAAATCACAAGGCTCGTTTATCACATACCTTGATCTTTTGTGGGCTCCTTCTGCTCCATGGATACCAGGGCAGAGAAATGGGCTTGGTCATATGCCAGTACCAACGGAGAGCGGTGGCATTTGTTGGCTGGAACTTCCAGGGGAAGGTAGATACCTCCAAAGGGAATAGGGGCAAAGGCTGGAAAGAAATCGGGCTGATTAGTTTTCAAAACAGGTTAAAGAGGGAAGAGTTGTTTATACTGAAAATGCTCCAGAACACACTGTTTGTTTCACTTCGAGGTTTTACCTGCAATTTTCTATCAACTTGAGGGACAAAAAACCCCCAAAGCAGACATTCATTTAACACCAGGAGAAAAACAGTTACCAAATGAATCTGTGTTTTCTATGAAAGCCCTTCTTCACTCCTCCACAAAAGAAACAACTTAAGTTTGCACACAGAACGATGGTAATTGATTAATCTTCTCTGACAGGAAATTAAGTCTGCTGGTGGAAAATACTACATGTAGGGAACGGAATTTCCCTTCTATACGCCCACATGTGCAGGGGCAGAAGAGGTAGAAAAACATAATGAAAAAGCAACAGGACAGGCTGTGATGTCTGTATGTCTCATACCCTCCGCTGGAATCACCCACAGCAGCTACAGAAGCTCAGCACCCCCCATGCTCTGCTGTCAGATTGGAGATCCAGCTTCATTGGGCAAAAAGTGCCCAGGAACACATGGAGCCAAGGGAAAATACACAGAATGAGCACACACAGAAAAAGAAACATGAGTGCAATTCCTACCTTCTCCCCCTGAGTCTCGCAGCATCGTGTCTGCCACCACCACTATGGGTCTTTTCAATACATGGGCAAGGACAAAAACGTGGAACTCCTCCAGGCTCTCATACACGGGTTCTTCAGAGCTTTCAACACTTTCAGAAACAAGAAATCAATCATTTTTCATCCCCTCTGCTCATCGCTTTTAATGACAGCAAGAGATTCTGACACTGTTTCTCTGCTGTTGCTTGTCAAGTTTCATTTTCTAATTTCAGATTTTAGACATAGATCAAAAACAATTCCTTTTCTAAGACAAGGGTTTATTTCCAGGAAACACCATAATGCTATTCGGCACTTCTTGGAGCGTCTTATCAAAAGAGCCTCAAAGTGGTATTTGTTTGGGATGGCTGCAGCAATCAAGTGCCCTTGAAACCCAGAGGGAGACAGAATGCTGCTGAAATCCTCATTTTTTGTTTATCACTCTCATTTTGGAGCCATGAAGATGATAAAAGATGGGAGAAGATCAGCGTTCAGCTCTGTTCTGCTCCACCTACCCTCCGCAGCCACCTCCGTTGGTGCTGTAGTGCACGCGAGGTTCGCTGGAGGCCAACTTGATCAGCTCGTTCCACTCCTTCTGCCACTCCTCCTCGGTGTAAACGAGACCAGACTGAAAAAGGCAAATAGGACAAAATCCTCAGACTAACTTTTTTTTCCAGTTTCTGCAGTATAGTTTTGTATGTACGGCCACAACATCTCTCTATGGGTTTATGTAAAAATCATCAATATGCATGCATTTCCCAAATCAATATTCCCACAGGGAGACAATCTGCCTCAAATGCAGACTTGGTGTATTTGTGGGGTGGAAATCAACATTTTGATCCACAGAATGAGAGGAAAGCTTTACTCTTACTCTGATCCTTCCATCATTAAAGGCAGTGGCACTGCAAGGAAAACCCATGTATGGCACAGCCTTTTCCTCAAAGACCTACAGTGCTCTGAAGACACTGTCCACCCACAACAGCACATGTACAGCCCTTCCTAAAGCCATCCTAATCCTAAAAGCCTGCAGTAAGAATTTGGTTTGGGGACCACACATCTTCTAACACAGAAGCTTTTCAAATAGCTTCCAACACAACCAGGAGTTGAAAGGTATCAGAAACCATACGAACCCTGAGCAAAATGAGAAATAACCTAAAATAGACCAAGCAAAAAGCTACACTGGAGCCTGCTGTGTTCAAGGTCCTAAGGAAAAACACCAAGAAATGCCCGAGTAAGCGCAGCAGCCCTTCTCTCCTCCTGCTTTCCTAGGCTCCAAAATCAGAGCTCCAGCATCCAAACACAACATCCTAAAACTTCTGAGCTGCCAAGAAAACCTTCACGCCACAAACCAGAAGTAACTGACAGTTGAGCCATCTCTGTTTGCTCAGTGAAGTATTAATTAAGTTTCTCTGCTCCTGGTTAAGCCTTTGATATGAATTCTTTCATCAACCATCTAAAGCAAAACAAATGAGAATATTTTACCCAGAGTGAGCTGTGTAAGAGCGCTTTCCATCCCTGGGCTGCCTCTTTTGGAGCTGCTTTGGAAGGGACAAGCCCAGCAGTGCCTGTGCTGCTGATGGAACCAGGTCTGCTACACCTGACTGTACGCACCTCCTCTGCCCACTGCTGTCTCCCAGATGCTTCTGCTGGGGATATTACAAGGGAATGGCACTACCAAGGTCCTGCACCATCAATATTCTCAAGTGCTGCTAAGATCTACAAGCCACAGGACTCTGCTGTTAGCTAGCTCTGGAGATAGCCTCGAGCATGCAGTTTAAAAAGAGGCCTAAAAGCATGCTTTTAATAGCAGTTATTATATATAATATAATGGACTATATTATAAATAGTCCAACTATTTATTACCTACTCTGTTTCAAACAGTGAAATACGTTTTTTTTTAAACTGTCAAGATACTAATCCTTGTGCCCTTCCAAAAATAAAAAGGAAGCTGGAAAGTAAACAACATCCTTCAGTTGTCAGGTGGAAACAAAAGTTTACCCTGCTCACAAAAAAGAGCACAATTTGAGGACATCTGGTAACTTTCCACGTTGACAAAGCCAGGTCCCTGCTTTTGGGGTGAACACGTCACAGCTTTGAAGTCTTTAATGTGGCAAGTTTATAATTTCCTTTTTTGGTGGAGAAGCCTGCCCCACGCTTCAGAAAGAATGCATCTTTCTGATCTTATCACAAGACAGACCTACACGGGAGCACTTCTTACATATCACATCCTGCCACTGCCAGCCAGGCAGCCCAGCAAGGCTGCATCTTCAGTGTGTAGTGATGTTTGTTTTCCATCGATGCCGGACACAACATGGCTCTAATAAAGGAATTTTCCTACTATGTAATACAGAGAATTTCACCCAAGTTTCACAGCCAGAGTTTATACTGAAGGATATTTCTCATCGTGGCATAGCCAAGTTCTGCAAGCCACGGACTTGCCTAAAATTGAAGACATTTGTTTTTCCTCCCAAACTTATGGGATATTTGATCAGGATTTTGCACTCTGCTCCCAGACTTTCAGTCTGGTTCCTACCTCCTTGTTCTGCTGTGTCTGCTGCCAACGCCACCGCCGCTTCAGGGCTTCCCTTTCCACACCTTTATCCATTAAGGTATAAAGGGATTTGCGAAGCACGAGATCTCTATCGTGGAAACCCCACATACCTGCATGGAGGGAAGGAAAAACACTGGAGGATTAGCAAGGACTGGCATTTCTCCACCCTCTGCTATGTAATTAATGTAAGTTTAAGTCCTACAGCATGCCACAAACCAGGGGAAGTGGTACAATGGGAAATGAAGGCAGAGAAATGCAAGTTGAGCAGGGCCAACCCGAACAACCGATTCCACAATCCTAAACTCCCTGCTCAAAGCTCACATCCCATCCATGGCCAGCTTTCAGACAGCTATGACCAAAAGCTATAAGGACTTCAGATATAAGGACTCTCCCCCAAACATTTAACCACATGCTGCTTTTCATCAATTCTATGCTGCTCCGTCGAGGGAAAATGCAGACCAGGTGAAATGAGACTGTGGTTTCGCTGTGTCTGAACAGAGCCAGCCACACAAAGGAAATACACAAGCCCACTCATTTAGAAGTCTGGAAACCTCAAAAATTTGTCACGAGGTGGAGTCACAGGAGCAAAACTGGGCTCTTGGAACTGCTCTGCTCAGCCACCTCCAGAGAACTGGGCGGCTCTGTTATTTCACATTTCCTTCAGAAACATGGGGAAACTTGCCAAAGGGAAGAGGCGAGGCCCAGCCCAGCGAGAACAGTTTTAGAAGTACACAAGCACTTGGCAGCTCGCTTCCCTCAGCTCCAGCTCTCTTTGCCAGCCCTGCACATCCACTGCTGCCTGCCTGGGGCGAGCAGCCAGACCACAGCATCCCACAGGGACAGATGGGACACGCGGTGCTGCTCGTCCCAAAGGCAGACAGGGTGCCTGGGATCTCCTTCCATCTCCAGCAGCAGTAGCTGCCTGAGCTGACAGCAGAAAGTGGTTGGGATAAAGAGAGGAGGCTGCTGGAGGGAATCACTGAGCTACTTCCCCAGCCATGCACTCAGTGAAGCTCTTACCCAGGGATGCAGCATGGAGCAGGCAGTTCCCATCACCTGTGGTGGCCAGGGGAAGCAGCCTCTGGCAGCTGGGATCCACATTTGCCCACCAGTTCAGACGACCTGGGGGAATATTTGAGAGCATGAAAACCAGGCACATAGCTGGACACGGAACCAAAAAAATAAGGGAGATGAGGACTGCAGCCTGCTTAATTTACAATGGGAACACCAACGGAGATGAGCTGCACATCCATCCTGCAGCTGGAAGAGGAAAGGAGCGAAGAAGATGCAATAAAAGGACAGGCTGGAATTACAACATCATCATGATGACCTGGGGAGAAAGCCAGGCTGCAAGAACAGGCAGGACATGGGAAATAATGACTTCAGGTCAAATAAATCAGAGCAAAAGCTGGAAGTAGGAGCCAGCCCAGCTAGGATTTAACCCGGACCAGCATTCTCCTCCTGCCCATTTTTCTCTCTGCTTGTTTCACAACGCCAGCCAACCATCAGGCCAAAAGCATGTCCAAAGCCAGCCACAAAAGGTGCCGACAACTCTTCTGGTTTCCCCAGTTAATAACCAGAGTGCTCTCAGTTGCTTCTAGGAAGCAGAACACTCCTACTCGATGCATCTCGTGTGGGTAACTCTCAAAACTTTTGCAGCTGAGCCAAGCAGCTTTACCAATGAAAATGTAAACTGACAGTGCTTAAAAATAGCAGCTTTTGGGTAATATAAGGCACGTGAATTACTACAAGTTAAGAGAGAAGGTTGTCATCTAAAAAGATTATCTAAAAATCTAAAAATAGAAGCTAGGAAAAATTAACACACACCGCAGTTCAGCTTAAGACTGGAAGCTAAACATCAATCAACGGAAGGAAGTTGTGTTACGACTCCAACTCACAACTCCTCACCCTGCTGTGCCCTCCCCACCGCACCGTGTCCCCTGGAGGAGGCTGGGACTTCTGGCAGCAGATCCTGTACCTGCAATAAGCACTTGGGAGGGCACGTTCTGGTCAGGGGGCAAAAGCATTGCATCCACTTGAACTGCTCTTCCGCACAGCTTTCTTTTCCCTGCATTTCCAGTTAACATTCCTGCTCCTGAGCACGGCCTCTGGCTTCACAAGGAGCATGTGATTTCTTAAAACTGTCTGCACAACCTCAGTGAGAACAGACGCAGGAGAGCTAAGTTCAGAAAAGCACTTTTAAACACTATTGGGAGATAAACATAGGAAAAGCATAAGAAGCAGAGCTCACTGGGATGTGATGCTGGTGACTGCTTTTCTCAGCATCAGGAAAGGAACCTGCTGGAGCTGCAGAGACAATAGCTCTGCTTAGAAAAGGGGCTGATTTGCACTCAAAATTGTTTCTGGCACGGCGACGTCGCAAACCTTCACCAAATGGAGCAGAGCCAGAAGAGTAGAGCGAGAAGCAAAACAGCATCTAACAAAAGCTGAACAAAATCAGAATGCTACTGCAGTCAGTATTGAGATTTTTATTGCCTTCGTGTGTTTCCCTGGGAACGTGCTGCTCCGTGTCTGGAAGCAGCCACTGAGTTTGTGGGATTTGTCTTCTCAGGGTGTTTGCTGCACCTCTGGTCAGCACTCTGGAGTTGTGCAGACTCCCAGAGAGTACAGCCAGGTCCACACACACTGACACACACCTTCAGAAGGCTTTTCTCTTTGCAGCACGCAGTCACGACGTGCTGCCCGTCCACAGCAAGGCACGCAGAGTAATTTGTCCAGACTTCTACATGCTCTGAGTTATGCAAGAGAGGTCATCGCCACTTCACTCTCTCCAAAGGAGCCACATTCCCCAAACCTTTCTCAATATTTTGCTTGTGGCAAGGCAGTAAAGGGCCAAGAGGCCCCCTAGAAGTATTTAAAACAACATCTTTCTCTGTGCACAGTTATTAGCAGCAAGTCCTGGAAGCTCTGCATGCCAGTAGAAGGGAAAAATAATTGGATTCAGGAGCACAATGGATCTTCCTGCCATCAGCACTTCAGCAACAGTGAGAGAAATGTGTGTGTGACTGGCAGGACAAATTGACACGTGCACCAAAAGCTTCGCTACTGCTGGCTCACCGTTGGCTCATCACAGCATTTTGGGCTCCTGGCTACCTCTCACTTGTTCTTGCGCTTTTCAGCTTGTTTCTCTCCCCGCTGGCTGGCAGAAAAAGCTCCATTACGAGCTGATGCTGCTCCAAAACCTAAGAGGTCAGAGACGGTTCTTTTGCACAGCTGAAGCAGTCCACAGTGTCAGGGGCTTCCCTTTGCAGCAGACACCGGCAGCACTGCTCTTATGGACCCAGCTCCACCAAACAGCTGCTTTCAGGATGTTTTTCTGCACAGCAAGAGCATTTGTTTGTTCCAGAAGAGCTCAGGAACCTGCATCCAAACTCACACATTTTGTGAAACACAGCTTTCCTCTAACAGGAACCTCTAAATAGGTCACACAAATAGGAAGGAATGAAGAAAGTGCTGCTCCTAGTCCAAAGCCCAGCACTGACTCACAGAAATCAAATGGCTTCCCTGAGGCTACCAGGGACTCCGTGTGGAATGAGGGCCGCCCTCCCCGCGTGGCAGAGGCAGCATTCCTGGGGATGATTTGTTCTCTAGCTCCTCAGGCTGACGTGACTGATCCAGCGCTAACACCCACCTCTGTGCTTGTGCAGTTGCTGCAGAACACATTTTTCTCCCCTTGCTGAATCACTGGGTGGAGAAAGAGTGGGATCACCTCCTGGAACTGGGTTATCAGAGACGAAAAAAGGAGAAAGCAGCAAGAAAATGTGGCAAGCTCATTTATCCTAACTAAAATTAGATAATTTGTCTGCAGGCTCCCTCATCCAGTTCAGAGCCCATCTATTTGACAAAAGCTTGCAGAAAGCACTTTCATTTCAGGATCTGGCAACAAGAGCTCATCGTGATGCACTCACACACCTGTAGCTTTCTCCCTGACCAGAACATATCTTCCATCATCAGGAAGGCCAAGAACCAGAGGCTTACCGCATGTCACAGCTAATCATGCTGCCGTTTCCACCTGCAGGAATGCTGCAGAGCATAGCAGCACCAGCTCTAAAGCTGGCTGTTGGGCACACTTCCCCCAGAACCGAGGCTCAGATTCCCACTCTCAGTGCAGAGGGGCCAAAGGAATCCCAGCCATGAGGTTCTCCACGAGCACTGGCCCATCAGGAGCCTGATCTGTGTTCTGCAGCAAGGTGGGCCCAGATGTGAGCTCACCTCTTTTCTCTTGAGAAAAATCAGTGTGGCCAATGACTGACAGGCTAAAATATCTGCAGAAGCTTTGCAAGTCAGATGTTAGTGCGTAAGAGCAGGAGGGTACATGTACTCATGTGCCTCTGATCATGCATGAGCTGAACCCAGCTGAAAAGCTTTGGGAATCGGGTGATGCATTGTTGAGGCAGGGACGGAAGTGTGCAGATTTCTTTGATTGCCTGCTTTGAGACGCGGGACGCTTACATTCCAGGAACAAGGAACTTGTTCACCAATCCAACAGTGAAGCAAGCGTTGAGGGAAGAGAGGCTGAATCCTTAACTCAGCAGTTTTTAAACAGTCCACCTACAGACGCTTACTGCAGTGCCAGCCAGGAGAAAGAAGCAGAAGTTTCCTTGCCAACGTGCTGGGGGGACTTTTAGAGAAGGGCTTGGCATCATTTCACTGACCTTGGAGCAAAGGCACAGCAATCAAGCCTAGGGTTTCTTTCCACTCTTCCTGACTTTACAGATGGCCTCAGGCAAGGCACTGCCTGCTGCTGCTCTGTGTGCAGAACTAGAAAAACACCCTGCATCTGCAGAATACAGGACAAGGCCTAAGCCATTTAGGCTTGCAACAAAGAACGCTAAGGTTGCAGCAAGGGCCAAATTCTCAGCTCCACCAAGGCCTTTTCAGAGCTTGGAGCATATTAAAAGCTTTTCAAGAGGATGTCATTACAATTTACAGCCACTTTAAGCATGCTTACTCTGCCACGGTGGTGTAAAGGGATCTCTGGATAGAATGAGAAGAGTATCTTAACATTTACTGGTCTATAAAATATTTGCTTAATTCTCTAAGGACAGCACTAAATTAAGAAGGGATATCAGTGTAGATCACAGCAACATGCTCAACACTCTACTTCAAATTAAGCTTGGAGCATCTCATATACACAGTGCAGCCCTTTATTAAAGATAAACACCCATTTATAACAAATCCACATATATAATGCAGGTTCATTTTGCCCTCAAAGAGTGCTTCGTAAAAGTCAATTACTTAAAATTAATGTTATCTCTGAGAAGCACCCCAGCACTCCCATGGATGAGTACAGCCAAGCGGCTGATCCAGCTCCATCTGAGAGTGGGCTGCCTGCTCTGCCAACAGCACACTCCTCTTCCACCAAGGTATTAGAGGGACTTGCTGGATACGTTATGTGTACACAAAAGGGATTCACACCAATTATAGTTTCAGGAAACTATGCTGAAAACTAAATCCTAACCACCTAAATATGCCATAGCTGTTGGCCACAGTTTGTGCCAAAAGGCAGCAATCCAATACCCAGCCTGAACTCTGCTGAGATGCAGATTAAGTGTGCTTCAATTTGCATCAGCTTCACCACACACAAACAGCAATGCTGCCGTAACAAGATCACTTGGATCAAGTGTTCATTTCCAAAACATGAGAATATTTATTACAGGAACACCTGAGCAGGACAGGGCTAAAATTTGAGATTCAGAATCTATGTTATCTCTGAAGGAATAATAGTTTTGTAGGTATGTGCACTACAACAGAAGTAAAAGAAGATGTAAAGGCTTCTGAGCTCCTGCCTAGTGCCCCCACCATGCCCCAGCCACACACCATCCTGACAGCACGTACTACGCTCCTCCTTGCCAGCATGGAGGTCCCACTCATTCACCAGCCCAATCTTATTTACAGATCACCTAGCAACTATTCAGGAGGAAAACAGCATGTCAGAAAACAAATCCGTCCGCACTCACAAGGTGGTTCCTCTCCAGGCACACACAAAGCCAGCAGACGAGTTTTCCTGCATTGAATTAGCAAGCATATAAAATGCATCATCCATCTAAAACATTTATAATCACTTCTAATATCCATTCATGATGATTCGCTGCTCTTTGCATTATGCAGTCATTTCTTTCCCCCCCCCCTTCTTGCAGTAGGGCTGATGGGATAGCACAGGGCATGGGGAAGCTTAGGTGGTGAGATAATGCAACTTGTTTTTTTTTTAGTATTACCATTTAGCTGCATGAACGATGACAACACACACAATTTACATTCCGTGTCTGCAGGCAAAGTGAAGCAGACTCTTGCTCAACTCTTGCACCACGCTATAAAAAGGGATGAAATAAAATCTATCACATACACATCCTTGCTCAGTTCTTTGCAGCCTACGGCACATATGCCAGCATATTCCAGTTGGCGCTGCTGTGAACTGCCACCACTGTGGCACTGGCATGGAAAATAAATAATTTGGGAGTGTAAATTGCTTACCAGCCTGCTCCAGTGCCACCAGCATTGACTGCTCAATGAGGTCTCGCTCGATGAAGCTGCGGAACTCCTCTGTGTACACCGTGAGGTCGGGCAGCTGGAAGGTGGAGATGGGCATCTCCAGCAGGTGCTCACTGCTGCCGTTGCTGGAGACGTGAGACCGGGCCAGGGAGACAATGGTGGAGCTGGCGTGGGAAATGCCTCGAGACAGGCGTTTTTCTTGCAGGGGAAGGAAAATGAAACACCACTTGAATGGTGCAGAAGCAGCAAACCTCACCAAAGCCATTATTAAAATCACTGCCTTCAGTTTGTATTTTTTGGTTGCTGAAAGCTGAATTGCTCTAACGCATTTCCAACTCAGAAATAGGGAAGTCATCCTGCTCTGTACTCGGCACTGGTGAGGCCTCACCTGCAGTTCTGTGTTCAGGTTTTGACACCTCAGTACAGAAAGGACATGGAGGTCCTTGCAGCAGGTCCAGAGAAAGGCAACAAAGCCGGGGAAGAACTTGGAGGATGTGCCCTATGAGGAGAGACTGAAGGAACTGGGGCTGTTTGGTCAGGGGAAGAGGCTGAGTGGAGACCTTACTGCTCTCTGCCAATCCCTGAAAGCTGACTGTAGCACAGCGGGGCTGTCTCTTCTCACTGGTGACAGGACGAAGGGAAATGGCCTCAAGTTGCACCAGGGTAAGTTTAGGTTGGATATCAGGAAAGACTTCTTCACAGAAAGGGTTGTTAAGCACTGGAATAGGCTCCTCAGGGAGGTGGTTGAGTCACCATCCCTGGATGTGTTTAAAAACGGTTTGGATGTGGTGCTCAGGGACATGATTTAGCAGAGGATTGTTAGAGTTAGGGTAGTATGGTTAGGTTGCGGTTGGACTTGATAATCTTTAAGGTCTTTTCCAAACTGAGCAATTCTACGATTCTATGACTGCTCCACGTGGCTTTCTGATGGCTCTTACCCTGCACAATGTCATCCTGCCGCTGCAGCGGTGGTCGCCCGGGCCGGGCTGCCTCCTTCTCCAGGGGTTTGTAGCTGCGTCCCTCGTTGAAGGAGTGTGGCAAATTCCCTGCGTGCACCTGCCGTAGCTGCTCAAAGTCACTCAGTGCTGCACTCAGATCCCAGTTCTTACCTGGATTAGAAGGCATCGAAAGTGGTGACCATCATACGAGAGAAATGTCAAGTCAGCTCTTACGACACCCACCTGGAAAGTAATACTAGGCTATCTACCCATGACATTTGGAGCTATATTCCTGCCCAGGATTTGGATTTGAAGAAATGTTACATGAAATGAAGGGCCCAACACATCAGGCTTACTGCTAGTTATCACTCAGATGGCTCACACACTCCCTCAGCGTGCAGTAGACAGGCACAGGGCTTAGAGGGAGCTGCTGCTCCTGCTTGCTGGAGCCTGCACAACCTCCCCAAAGCTCCCAAAACCACGAGTTTTGCCAGAACTACATTTCTGGCTACAAAACGAAGGGCAGGGTCACCATAACAGCACACATGCTGAACACAGAGCATGGGACTGAAGACAAACAAACAGCATTCTGCCCTTAGGAAAGGGAAATGGAAGGTCAGGCTGTGTTATGTCCACCAGCATGTAGGCAAGCCAAGTGCTTCAGGTCAGAGCCAGAGCTTTGTTTTCTAAGCCTCTCCAACTGCTGTGAAGATAATCCATTGTGATGCATACACCACTTCTTTGCTGACAAAGTTTAACAGCCTGCAGCTCTCATCCCTCACATTATTGCAGGATAACACTCAACCAAAAAACAGGAAAAACGTGAAGCGGGACTTTAAAAGCTCATGGTTTCTAACAAAACTTTTTTCAGGCTCTGCGCATGGTTTTTAAGAGACTCGACTATTCCTGAGCTGACACCCAAAATTTAAAAGCAAGGAAAACGCCAGCCAGCCTAGGCAGCAGCTCCATCACTTTCCAGCAGGCTGCAGCCATTACCAGCCAGATAAATTATTCATCAAAACCGATTTAACTTAGAGTTGGGGGAATCCTTAAAGCAATTCCTCTTCCTGCTAACACGACCCAGCAAGCTGAAAGAGTATATGTTAATACACTGAAGTCCTCCAGTACGCAGTAAATTGGCCTTTTAGAAGCCACTGTCTTCCACAGGCTTTAATATATAGCAAAAAAAGAGTCTACCATATGGCTTACATTAGAGAAAATTGTGATTTTTATGAACACTGTTAGTCTAAGCTCTTAAATTAGCAAGTTAGCAGACACTGTAGAAAGAAAGCCAACTTTATATATAGTAACTCCACTACAGGAAAGATATATAAACTGCCAATTGGTTTATATGATAGCTCATGGATAATACAAGAAGCATTATGTCTAATTCCCAAACGGAAATATGCTTTTTAAGTATTCAAATTCTTCTGAGAGATGTAATTCGCAGTGTTTAATGACTGACTCCAAGCGGAAAGTTATTTTAAGGTTTACCTTTTGAGGTTGTTTTCCTGTTTCATTCTTTAAATGAACTAACAAATCAGTATCGAAGAATGAGAATGATCCACCTGATTAAAATTAGAGCTCCTGGCTCACCATTACCTGCTTCAACACAGAAGCAACAGGAGAATGCTCTAATACTGACCCAGCAAAGCTGTATTTACCAGCAGCTGCTTCAGAAGTGAAAACCCTTTGGAGGGTCTATATATAAATGATGGAAAAGTCTCTGCCTTCCCCCGTTTCCACTTGTGGAGATGTCAGCTCCACAGAGGCTGTGGGAAAAAACACAGTGACTTGGTGTTATGAACACAAGGTAAAACTGCTGTTGTCAAAGTGAATCAACTCACGTGCCAGAGTGAGAGACACAAAAATTGGAGGAATACCTGCATTAACCTTTTTCTATCACAAACATAAATACTGGTTTTGAAAGACAGCATTAGAATCCTGACATGAAACCAAGAAACCTAAAACCAGAGCATCAGTGCAGCACAAAACCCACAGCCCTCCAGACTTCTGCTCAGGCAGCACTTCACCATGAGTGGGCTGTGAGATGCCATGAGGTGCTGTGAGCAAGAGGGCCGTAGGATGTCACAGTGAACAGGGCCATGGGCTGCCATGAGCTGGGGGCCGCAGGCCACCATGATGGAGGGGGCTGCAGGCCACGAGGAAGTCAGAGGCCGCCATGATGGAGGGGGGCTGCAGGACATGAGCTGCTCCCCACACGCCCAGCCTTCAGACCCTTCCCCATCTCACAGTCATGCCTGCTGGGTGTCCAATTGTCTCACTTGAGCCTCTGGAAGAAGGAGGAACCAAGGCTCCTTCTGAAGCAAAGCCAAACTTGCACCATTACCTTTATTCCAAGCTTGAGAGGGTGATGATACAGCTCAAGTATCACAGCATACTTAACTGAATTGCATTTCGGTTAAGTATGGACAAAGTGCCAAATACAGCTTCCTCTGTTTCAAATGCAATGTTTCCGTCCTCCAGCATTTAGCACAGGCCAACATTTAGTCACCATCATCTTGTCAACACAAACCCAAAGGCATTGCTTGCAAGAAAGCTTACAGCCCAAAAATTCAGACCTGGCGGCCTCTCCTTGCCTCTGCCTATAGCTATAAGCAGAAGGTGAAAAACCAATTATCCACAGCCTTGAAACTAAACACATTCATTAAGGAGCAAGTTGCCCATTTTAAGTTTTTGAGAAAATGTCAATATTGTGCTATGTTTTAGGGCAAACAAACACACTTTTAAGCAGGCAGAGTGGTGGAGAGCTGCCAGCATGATGCGTTGAGGCTGCATACAGATGATGCAGCATTTCGAGGCTTCAGTTCCTGAGCACTCAGTGCCTTCTGGCACCTGACAGACTGACCCTGCTGACAGCAAGTGCCCCATGATGAGCCCTGGGTACACTTCTGCACAAGTCAGCCTGTAAGGGCTGCTGCCAGGAGAGGTCACTGGCTCAGCAGCACGCAGCATGGATGGCCAGATACCAGCAAAACAGCAATTTATACTGGTATAATCACACCACCTTCACAAGCAGAACAAGATATACCAGTAAAAGCTTTGAAAAGCTTTGCCTGTATAATTACCCCTTACTGCTTTGAAAACACAGGCAGCCATCAGAGCTCTCGCTAGCAGCGATAGTGCTGCTGACAAGAAAAATCCCAAAGTTTTACTACCACTGCTGGCAGCGAACAACATGCAGGAACAGAAGTTGAATGAAGCACTGCTGTGTTCCTGTTCAGTGCATTCTCCTTCCAAACATTTGAAATTCATTACCTGATGGCCACGTAACAAGAAACCAGGGCAGAATTTCACCAGCACCACTGCTGATGGCACCAGCTGGACACCAACTTCCATCCTCACAGGTCCTCCCCACCCTTCTTGCAAGCCCTTTCCACCCTCAGACCACACCAGCCTCCTCCCAGATCCCATCCCCAGCTATATGTACCTTCAAGCAGGTCTCTGGCCAGTCCTGGCTCTGCCCCTGTCGAGCGAACAAAATCCGATAGGACGATGTCCATATCCAAGGTTGTCTGCTCATGGATTCCTCCTGGCAGCTGGGGTCAGCAGCGCCCGGATCAGCACCTCGGCCTCAATCTAGAAATGAGACCAACGACACGTGTGGCTCGCATTACAGACTATAAAATAATTAGCCTGGAGAGGCAGCTCGGGGCTGGCTGGGAACTATCCGATGGCAGGTGCCCCCTGAGGGGGAAGGCCTTCCGCACACAGCTAATTGTGCTCTAGGACTGCTGATTAAGGGATCAGTAACTGTGAGTAAAGCCAGGAGATCCACTGCCTCCACAGCCAGTCAGAGCAATGCTGCGGGTCCAGGTGTACCAAAGGCTCAGCAGCTTCAGGGTGAAAATTCTCATCTCAAAGCATCTCAGGGCAGCTCCTCGTTGCAAAATCACAGGCAAAGAGCTAGGAGAAGAAATGAGTTTGTTCAGTAGCAGAAAACAGAAAGCTCCTCTCTCTTGCCCACCTGCACAGAGGCCTGCAGCCCTTTCCTTGAGCAAAATGCTGTAATTAGGAGATGTTGCCAATGCAAAATGAAACAAAAAACCTTTTCAGGCAAATAAAGTAAACTCCTTTCAAAGGAACAGAACTGTACCACTGCAGCTTTCCAGGAAGAGGAAGCTCTCTGCACTTGATTTTAACCAGCACCAATGCCCTTTACTAAAGCCTTGTTCACTCTGTGCAGCTTGAAGAGCCCTTCAGCTCTACCTTGCAAAGGCAGAAATGGTGTGATTCAGTTTGAGAGAAAAGCAAACCAGCTTGGCAGCCCCAGCTGTATTCCATGAGAGATCTTCCTGCCCCTAAAAATCACCCAAGTCTTCACAAAAAGATCTCCAAAGCCAACACACCGCAAACCCCTCCAACAGCTGGTCTTCCCAGAAGGGAACAAAACCGACCAGTGCAAAGATACATTATGTAAACTTTCCATTTTAACAGGTCTGAAGATTTAGAAAGCCACATGTAGGTGTGTGCTCTTGCTGTGCATTCAAATCCTGATTTACTGCATTCCTCAGGGCAGAAACAGAGAGCAGCTCCACAGCAGCTTGGACCCAGAAAAGGCTCTGCGGCCTTTTGCAGCTAAAAGGGTTATAAAAGAAAAAAAAAACCCAACTCTCAGCTAACACAACCTGCTGGAAAACTCCTCCTAAGCTGAAATTTGGCACATGAATAAGAGGGGAAAAGGTGTGTAAGGTAGGTCAACAGAGCTGTCACCGCATGGAGAGGAGAGGAAATTTCAGCGTTACAGGGAAGATGAACAATCTCATCCACTTTCCGAGTGCCTTAAAAACAACTCTTTTCTGGAGCATTCCTACAGATGGGCAAAACACCCTCAACACAAACCCCAGGCACAAGTGAAACACGCAAGCTGTAATCTGGAATTTCCTGGCTTTGTTGGTTAAATACCATTCTTATTATCTTCCACACTCTCTAATCATATTCTTATTAACTATACACACAAAAAAAAAGCTGCATGTTACTTAACACCAGGGCAATCTTGGGGCTATTGTCACCCGAAGGCAATCCTAAAACCAAGTGCATTCTGACACAGAGCTTTGCCATACCAATGATGAAGAGGATCCCCTCACCACAAGCCACATCCCCCAACCACTGGGGAGAACTATGGGAGCAGTGAGTGGGGTTTCTCAGTGAAAATTCAGCATCACCAGAGCAAAAGGTAACTTCCTTCTGGTGGGTTCAGCACTTAAAAGCAAGAGGCCTTTCGGAAGGCAGAAGAAAAGAGCAGTGGCACAGCCCACGCCTGCTGACTCGTGGCATTAGCAGCTCCTTAGCAAACTCCCTCACACACAAATATGTCAGCATCTCGACACTGCAAGGCAAAACACAGATGGAAAACTCCAGGTCCGACGACACAGTAATGAACTGCCAGAGATTTACTGCGAGGGTTCATCCAAAGAAGCACCCTCTCCCCCTGTGCTGACTGCTATTGATTGCTTTCTTTACAGAGAGCTATCTCCCTTCTGCAAGCTTTTGGCATCACCCGGGCACTGGGCAGGAGCAGCCTTGCGGAAATGTGGCTGCACAGGGAGCACAGTCCTGTGTGCTGCTTTCTTTCCCTCCTCTTCCTCCTCCTGCAGCTTCAAAGCCTGCTATAAGGATGGGAAATTCACTGTGCTCATCCCTCCCACTGCACCAGGTAGGAAATGAAACCCAAAAAGATCTGCAACCACAAGTGTTACAGAATCATAGAACTTTGCCCCACAGAAATCAAAATGTTTCAGGTGTCAGCACACTAAAATCCCCCCAGGAGTACACACAGAGGCATTTATGACCCTGTTAAAACAGACAGCTTCCAGTGCTGGACAGAATCCCTACGCGAGCTTTTCTGTATGATCTCTGCAATGCTGACAGACCTTTGCATACAGGTAGGAATTACGCAAATTAAAGCCTGAGTATTCATGCTTTAATCTCCCCACAGAATCCCAGCTCTCCTCTGGCCCAACACACAGACATCACCCCCAGCACACAGACATCACCCCCAGCCCTCCAGGCACTGCTTTTCCTCTCATACACAACCAGAATGGCACAAACATTTTGGAAATCACTCATTTCCCCATCAGAGCTACATCCGGACATGGGCTAACTCCCCAAAGGTGGGTGAAGGCATGCCTGAGGAGCTGTTCCAGCCAACACAAGCAGCACGCAGCCCATCCTGGCTATGCTCCACAGCTTTGTGCAAGGAAAACCCTCCACAATCCAGTAGGTGAAATACAAATACCGCTGGAGAAGGAGGGACTGGAATCCCCCACCCAAGGCACACTCCACTCTTACAGGTTCTTGAGATATATTTGCATGTGGTTTATCAAATTTGTAATGCACAGCTTTGTTACAGGTTTGAAACATTGCAGAAAACCATGCTACAGGGTGTTATAGAGCTCATTTTTTTAAGCTATCCCAGAAATACCTTCTAATCAGCACGTATAAAGGGAAAGCTTTTCAAAACACTTCCATTTTAAGCCATTCCAGACAAAAATGCCACCAAAAGCACTTCTGTGTGCACCCCAAGTCCTCACTGTTTAACATTATGTGCAAAGCAACAGCTGAACTCGGAGCATCCCACCTCTCACTGCTATCCACAGCGCTCCTGTAGAAGGAAAGCTTCCAAATTTCCCCATTTCCACTGGTGAAGAGCCAAAACCAAATTGCCTTAATTTGCAAAGACTCAAATTAGAACAACTCCCTGCACACTACAGGAGGGAAGGAAGGAATTTGGCAGGTGCTGCCCTGCAGCAGGTGAGGAAGGGGTTAGGTGTGTGGCCAAGGGAGGGGTCTGCACCCCTCTAAGGTCCCCTCCTCACCCCTTTCAGGAATGGAATAAGGTCTCTCTGAGCTCAGAAATGCTGACAAAGTGTATGTGGGAAGAAACCACCGTTACCAAATTCACTGTTTTCCTCCCAGCATACAGTCCCTCACCTCTACGCTTTCCCGAGACATTGCCAAATCTCACCCATCCTAAACAGCTTTTCCTCATTTAATTTCATCACTGGGCTGCAGAGCATTTTGGAAAGCTGGCATGTTTTCCTTAATTGCATTTTCAGACATGCTAAAAAAAAAAAAAAAAAGGAGTAGAGAGTATGTATCTCCAAGCTCTTCAAACCAATACAAATCTTTATCTGAGGGGAGAAAGTGTGGAGTCCCATGCTCAGAGAGTTGACAGCTGGCTGGCACAGACCGAGTGCAGCGAGGCTTTGCTATGGACTCCAAATTAAAACATGTTTTTTATAATTTCAAAACAGTCATCAAGTTTAAATACCAGGCAGGAGCGCTTCCCAACAATTCTCCTATTGTGATAAGGCCCTATCATCTCCTTCAAATCACTTTTTGGCTACAAGCAGGAGACTTTCTCGCTGCTTTTGGCACTGATATCACCCTGCAGCCCAAACAGGGCAGGATCAGAGCTGGGATAAAGCAATCCCAGCTGCCAGTCATGCAGGCACGTTGGGGTGATTGCTTTGCAAACAGCTTTCCGGGAGCAAAGCTGTGGCCTATTACACACAGCCCACAGGCTACATACCTGTGGTATCTTGGCAGCACACTGGGAAGTGGCAGACATTCACGTTTACAACAATTTACCAAGAAAAAACAGCACCTGGCTCGCCAGGTAAGTGTCACCCTCACCTCACTGAGCTTCTCAGAACTTCACAGAACACCACTTCTTTGCCAAACGGCCATTGATAACACCACCCCCAGAGATGGTGATGCAAAGGCTCTGCCACGTAGGACCCGCATTCAGGGCTGGCCTCACACCAACAAGGCATTGTATCCTTCCTGAAACATTTGCATAAAGGACTAGAACAGATCACTGGGAAAGAAAAGTGCCTCATTCACAATGAAATCTGTGAACAGATTGATATTTGAATAAGAGCACTGCTATGCAGCGTACAATTGCACGTTGTTATTGCACTAAGGCAGTCAAATCTCCTGGAACTGTTGGGAGCAGGTGGAGCAGAGCAGCAGTGCATGATCACACAGCACCCATCCGGACAGTGCAGCAGGGTGTATGCCCACCTATATCCCCACTTCATGGGCAGAAGTTGCACTGTGAAACAGGGCAAGGTGTTTGCCTCTTGGCCACACCCATGCACACAAACTGGAGGCACAAGGCAAAAAGATGCAGCACCTTTATTTCCTCTCCTCGCATTCAGCTCTACCTTGAACTATGGAAACACTCACTTGCATGGGACTAACCCAGCTGACTTCAGAACTCTTCTGCCATCTGTCTCAGGTTCCTAGCTGCTATCTCAACTGCCTTTGCTGAGTGGCTTTGCTGCTGCTTTCCAGCTTGCTTCCCCTTGGAGGCATTCTGCGATGTTGTCATCTCCTTATCCTTCAATGATAAGATCATGGGTATTAGAGCACCAGAGACAAGAGGTCACTGTCACATTGCTGCTCTTACATCTGCGCTAACAAAGACCCCAGCTGTCCCCCAAACACAGCAAATCCAACCTAAAAATTATTAATTTGCTACTGAAATCTTTGTAGGCTTTTTATTAGAAAGCATTATTTCACTGCGCTCTAACACCATTCTAAAGTTACGCAAACAGGCTCCTATCCAGCAGGCTGTAGAGCTACCTTCACTTTTCCTTCACACTTAATTTCCTTTACATTTTGTCTTCCATGCTTCCATCGCCACAAATCACACCGCAAACCTCTGAGCTGGTGGGAAGCCGAGCACTTGGATGCAACACCCAACATGAGGATTATTCACCTTACAACAACCTGCTAGGAAGCTGCCCTCCACCAGAAACCGTGGAGCATTAAATCAACTGAGAGCTTTCATCTCAGCCACCCCGATCACACACTCTCATCACGCTTTTATGGCTCTTCCATCGGTATTCCACATCGCAACAAGACCAAAGCGCTCAGCTGGGATGCCCCCTGCCTTTGCTGACAAACAAATGACTCCCCAGCCCCAGTTTTGGGGAAGGAAACCCCAGGGGAGCACGTACAGGACCAAAGCAAAGCGTTACACAACAAAGCTGACGTTGAAAAACAAGCAGAAGGCGTGAGCTCCAGAAGACACAAGGGTCCAGAAACCTCCAGAAGAAACCATACCTCACCCCTGCATCGGCAGCAGTTCCGGCAGCTCAGCAGGAGACATCCATGAGGCACATGCAGACAGAGCCCCATACCACCAACAGTGGTGTTGATATCCTCTTTAAGCTGTGTGTGACTCCTCATTTTAGAGACCACAATGTCCTCGTCTGTTCCGAATTCCTCAAGCTCAATGCCTCTTCTGCCATGATGCAAGCCCTGAGCTATGTGAAACCGGAGCGGGCATCAGGCTGCGCACTTCTTGTGCTTCCTAATTAAAAAACCTACGTTCAAAGTGATTGCTGGCAACCCTCAGACCTCAGGGTTACGCAGTTCTCCCAGAATTTGCCAGATAAAACTGGAATCAGTGCTTCAGACAGCCAACCTCTCCCACATTGCAAATGCCCGTAGCCTTCACACTCCATTCATATTTCCCCGGTTTCCCTCCAAAGACCATAAAGATAAGAACTCAGCTAACAGCTCTGCGCAGCTCACGCGGACCCCACGTGGCACACGTTCCCTGAGCTTCCCATCCTCCTTTTTCTTTAGGAACAGCAAGAGGAACTCCAGCCAACCTGCTCAGGTTGCTGCTCCCACTTCCAGCACAGCACCCAGAGATGGAACCAGAAATATTGAACTTCTGTCACAAAAGAATCATAGAATGGCCTGGGTTGAAAAGGACCACAGTGATCATTAGTTTCAACCCCCTGCTGTGTGCAGGGTCTCCAACCAGTAGACCAGGCTGCCCAGAGCCACATCCAGCCTGGTCTCAAATGCCTCCAGGGATGGGGCATCCATAACCTCCTTGGGCAACCTGTTCCAGTGCCTCACCACCCTCTGTGTGAAAAACTTCCTCCTAATATCCAAGTTAAACCTCCCCTGTCTCAGTTTAACACCATTCCCCCTTGTCCTATCACTACCCACCCTCATAAACAGCCGTTCCCCCTCCTGTTTATACGCTCCCTTCAAGTACAGGAAGGCCACAATGAGGTCTCCCTGGAGCCTTCTCTTCAAGCTAAACAAGCCCAGTTCCCTCAACCCTTCCTCATAGGAGAGGTGCTCCAGCTCTCTGAGATGACAGCATGCAAAGACAGACCAGTGACACCTCAGAGTGTGCCTGAATCCTTCACTTGGAAGAAAGCTGTCCTAAAGGCTCATTGTTTTTGAGGATGATGCTCCTACAGCATCACTGTTCTGCACTGCGGCTGGACACAAATGTGGGCACAGGACAACACTGGCACAGCCAAACCTTCAGGATTTCACATATTTTTGGAGCAGCCTGGCACGAGGTCACTCTTAACACAGGGGTATCTCCAGCTTCCAACACATCTCCCATGGACAGAAATGACTTTGTTAGGAAAAGCAAAAAATGCCTACCCCACAGGGATGTCACACCACTTAGCTAATGCTTGTAAAAAGCCATAAACAGCTTAATGAAGGCTCACTGTTATGAGGCATGGGGAGTACTCACAGCCTGTGTCTCAGCAGTGCTTGGTCAGCTATGGATGGCTCCAAGGCCCCACTGCCAGCACGTGAGAGCCTGAGCACCTCAGTGGGAAGGAACCCAAGAAACAGCCACACTGCTCCCACCTCGTGCTCGGAGGAAAGATTCTGGTTGGGATTTCACATATTCACCTGCAAAACAGCACACTGCTTCAATCTAATAACAGCCTAACAATGCCGTGCTGCTATGGATGCCCACCACACCACGAGCTTCTACGGCTTCTGCTATCACAGCTTTTAAAAGTCATTCACAACTGGATCACCTCAGGTTGAAACGCGCACATTTAGCACTGTCTGCAGCAATTTCTCCTTGAAGTGGTGAAATAAGGCAGGGGTTTATGAGGCAATAAACCCAGTGCATCAGTAAGGTGCGTCTGGAGCTCCTCCGAACCATTGGTTGGTGGTGGCTGTCACTGCTCCCCATGCTGCCAGAAGTCACTGTCCTCTGCTCAGGGCTGAGCACCTCCCTCACCCTCAGGGATCAGAGCTCAGGCTGCTCACTGAACCCCAGTTAAACAGCCACCATTGACCTTGCCTGAAGCAGGGGAGGAGCGCTCACACCAGCTGCTTTCCAGGAAGACGAGATGAAATAGGGACCTCTGGCACTGGAGCAAAGCAGCCACGGGCTGAGCTCCTGCCCAGAGCTGCAAGCAATGCACACAGGGTGAGCAGCACCAGCACCAAGCTCCTCTGTGCAGATGAGCTCCTGAAGGGGCCTGGGTTTAAACATGACAGAATTAGTCAAACACATTTCCGAAGAGCATATTTTAGAAGCGTATTAACCCAATTTCAACTATTTTGGGCTTTTTTTTTTTTAATTGAAGATTTACACCAACAAACAAACCAAGGTGTATTTGGCTTCAGTAATGTAGACTCCAAACAATGGTAAAAGGTTCTTGATAAATTAGCCCCCCATTGTGAGATATTCCAAAAATATAAAAGGCACCAAGTGTTGCTTAAATCAGGAAAAGCAAGAGAAGAGGAAGGGTCAGTGAGCCGGCAGCACCCTTCTGCTGTACGTGGGCATTTTGGGACAGAGCTCTGAGCTCCAGCATCCAACCCAGAGGTGTTGCACAGAATGGTTTCAGCCTGATTCATCGCTTTTTGTTGTCCTGCTCAGAAAGGATGGCTGAGTTCACTGCTGCTGGAAACATTTCCCCCTGTTTTGCTGTCGTGCCTGAACACGCTGTCATACTTCACAAGTGTGGTCCTCTGCTAGGAAGGCAGCAAGCCCTTGGTGTTAGCTCATGTCAGAGATGACTCCTGTATGAGAAAATCTTTTTTTTTTTTTCTTTTTTTTTGCGAACAAACTCAGACTTCATACCCACAACCCGAACACAGATTAATTCTCCTCGTCACCTCACCATGACGCAGCCAGCTCTGCTTCCAGGAGCTGTTCCCATGGCTCTGCTTGGCACCGAATCACGCCAGTCAACGTGTGCCAACTGCTTTATCAGTTATGTGCAAACGCGAGAGGAGAGGAAAGCACTGGGAACAAACAACAGTATGCTGCTAAAACCTTCTGAACCACAAGCATTTTGGAGCCTTCCTAATTCAGCTTGCCTATGCAATAAGCTTTCCAAAGGCCAACCCTATCCAGACCAGCAGCATGGCATGAAATCTTCACTTCCAGCACAAAAGCAAACTGAATAGAAAAAGAAATGAAATGCAGCAGTCCCAGAGATGGGCTCACACACCAACAAACCCACAGCCCAGCAGTGCCCAGAACCTAACCCAGAGCTCCAGCACCACACCAGGCACTCCGAGGTGCCCTACATGTGGGTACAAACTCAAAGCAAAGCAAGAAACAGGTGTCTTCCATTGGGACTTGAGCATTTCCTGCTCGCTCAAGGCAGGACACAGTAACCAAAACTGTATTAGGAAACTTTACAGTTCCAGCCCAAGGAAAATGTTTCCTTTTGCGTCAAAAGCAAATGTACTTCACTTTGTCTTTCGCTTTTAAACTTGGGCTTTTAAATCAACATCATAAAAGACAGCAGCAACTGAAGATGACTGTCAGCATCAAGTGCATTTGAATACTCCCTTTGCAGTGCACATGTTTTAATTTTCAACTGAATTTGGGTTGGGTGGGTGTTCCCCAGCCTAGTTTCTGAATTCTGTTTTCTTAAGATTGGGGCATGCTGACATCACAATGCGCTGCTGCACGCGGACAGCAGGAAGCCTTCGAGGCGATGTGTGCTCCCTAACGAGGAGGGAAATAAGTACCAGAGAGAGAAAGGGTGGGCTGAGCAGAGCAGAACCACGCTGGGGCCTTCGGGAAGCAGCAGCAGATCCACATGATGGGTTTGTGTAGCCTGTTGTTTTAATGCAGGAGACAGCACCTTGCAGAAGGCACTCTGCATGAACTCCAGACTTTAGCACTTCACCTGTAGGCTCCTTAACTTCTCCTTGCTTCTCAGCAAGGCAGTGCTGTGCTCTGCCCAATGCATGCAGGATCCAAGCAGAGCCCTGCTTCCAGGGCAGCGATGCAATGGTGTGATTACGCCGTGAGTCACACACAGCTTGGAACTATAATAAGCTCGATCCACAAACAGCATTTCTCGCTCAGTCACCACACCCATAAAAACAGAGAGTGAAAGCCATGCATCCCAAACCACAGCCAGGACGGCTGCACCTACCGCGGCTCAGACCTTTGCTCTTCCAGGCAGGGAAACAACATGTGCAAAAACGTGACCATGTCTGCCTCTACCTGAACCCTTCCAAAGCCAGGCAGTGACAGGCAGTGAGGAAAATAAGGGATCTGATCATCTGTGTGAGGGCTGAAGGGACAGACACCCATCTGCTCACTCTCTCTGTGTGAGGCTACTCCCAGGCTGACATCCCAGTGAGCACACGGACTTGGCACACACGTCAGTGCTTCCAGCAATAAAGTCTGCAGTGCCTCCAAAAGTACCAAAGGTAAAACACCACCAAAAGCTCATGAAAAACAAGATGAACGTCAGAGAAAAGGCACAGAAGCAAAGCAACCCGCAGCTCCCCGCATTCTCCACATAGAATGCAACAGCAGTCCTGGTTTGTGAGGAGTTTCAGCATGACTCCCAAAAGCTGAGTGGGGAGGGGAATGCATCCTGCTCCTCCATGGCAGATGCAGGGACTGTGTGACCGCTCCCAACCAGATCAGGCAAATTAAAAGAGACCACAGGAAGAAATAAAAAGGAAACAAGGGAAAATAATGAGGCGTACCTCAGCTTTGTCACTTGTCTGTTTCAGAAAAATGGGGAAAAAAAAAATCAAGTGTGCTTAACCAAATAAACGCTCCACTGGAAATGGATTCAACTCACAGCACAGGGAAGATGGACTGTGGTATTCAAGATTGTAACTTTAAGGGGCTTTAATTTTCTCCTCCAAAGTGCTTTGGTTCCTGTGGGTGAAAAACAGCATGCTGAGTGCTAATTCGTCTCCTTTAAAAGCAATGCATGTAAAACAAAGCTATCACCACACATCTGAGACATCCACCAAAGCCATCTTGAGCTTTTGCTCATAAATATGACTGGATAGCCACACTACAAAATGCACTCCAAACCTAGTGATGCTGGTAAAGGACTCAAGGCCCAGACCCAGACACCCACTGCTCTGCTGCCAGGGAGGAATCATCCCCCCATTCCTGCCCTGCTTTACAAAGCTCCTGCAGAAGTTCTCACAGCTGCAGCAAGACTGAACTTTGGGACCTCTTAAACAAAAATCTGCCCCAACCTGCATGGAGCAGCATTCAGCTCTGATGCAGAGCATAATGCAGGCTGGTTGCCTTGCCCTGTCCCATGCCCTCTGCAGCCTGGGTGCAAGCCTTGCCCATGGGAAAGGCTCATGATGCAACCCAAGGCAAGCTAGGCAGGACTTCAGTGTCTTAAGCAGCCCACACCTGTGCTGACCAAGCCCTGCTCTTTACTTGCTAAGCCTTATCAGAATAGCTACCAGCAAAATAAGCTACTCACATGGCTGTGCTCCAAGCAAGCGAGATGGAAAGCAAGGCAAAACTAACACAGATGTTTGTTCTTGTGATGTGAGGGGTAGACTGAGGTCGGGGTGGGTGTAGCACTGCGCTTTCTGCTTGGCACAGCCGTGTCTGAACCCAGATTTCCTGGGTCATGAAGACAGAGCCTTGGAAGCCTCTGCAGGACTGCGAATCTGTGGCACAATCTGTGCTGCTCCAGGACAGTACAATGCCTTTAACAAAGGGAAAAACTTTCTTAAAAAAAAAAATATGCTGCTGCTCAAGAAATTCAGAGCACAAGGAAAGCAACAGTTAAGCAAGAGTCACACTTCACAAATCTTTGTTATGACTGTTTTCATACGCTTAGCTTCTCTTAGGAGAGAGCTTTACCCTATTTTCATGGGTTACAATCACCTGCTTTCCTTTGCTCTAAATACAGCTGTACTAATTTTGATGTCCAAATGATTCTAAAGCTTGAGCTGCAGAACACTGAGGTGCAGCAGGGGAACAGAGCCTCAAAGCCACATGGACATCAGCTTCCAATGTGGATGGAGCGGATCTGTTACCTCTGCAGCATTGCTTTCCATCCATTCCTCTTTCAAGAGGGTTTGCACTTTCCAGGTTGAATTCCAACCCCCACCTTTCTATTTCCAAATAGCCCTCAAAGCAAAGCAAGGGTTCACACTCCAAGTGCCCACAGCAGTGCCTCAATACAGAGCTGCTCAGCACCAAACACACTGCAGCGCACTGAGCCCTGGGCAGCAGGGCCACTCCCACGAGCTGCAGGATGACCCATTGTAGCTCCCTTCCTGTGGTAGCCAGACATGAGGCATGTACCTAAAACAAACACGTGGAAACCCAGCCTGAGACAAATGCACCTGCCGAAATCAGGCCATGACTATTTCCACCCCAGAACTAGGCTCCACAGGGCCGAGCACTTTGCTTCCAGGGGCTGCAGGCAAGCAGAACGTCTGCACACCAGGCACAGCTGCTTCCTCCTCCAGTGAACCTCTCTGTGTCAGTATCAGTCACTTGAAAAGAGGGGTTCGCAGTCCGTAGCACGGTCAGAGCTGAGGCACTTGTTGGAGGGATGCTCCCTGCCCATGTTGGGCAATGTCATATTGCGCTGTCACTGCACCACATCGAGTAGCAGATATGGGACCAGCAGCTTTAGGAAGTTTCTCAGCTGTCAAATGCAGCAGAATAAAGGCCATCCGCTCCTGCACCATCTCCTCTCTACGCTCCCACTGTCAGCTTCCTTTTTCAGAGGGAAAAAAAAGTGCAGCTTAAGCATCACTTTTGGTGATGCTTAACCTGACATTAAGCATCACTTTTGGTGGCCCACACCCGCTGTTTCATGTTACCACGTCAACTGCTGTCCTCATATTCCTTTGGAACAGCAGCTTTGTCATGCTGCAACTATTGCCCCAAGGCCAGACTGGATGTGGCTCTGGGCAGCCTGGTGGTTGGCAACCCTTACCTGTGGCAGGGGGGTTGAAACTAGATGATCTTTGAGGTCCTTTTCAACCTAGGCCATTCTATGATCCTTTGAAGTTTGCCTTTACAATTAGTGCTGTGAGGCATTGGGCTTTAACAGCTTTTCCTTAAGAAGCATGAAATCCCAAGCAGTTGTGCTATCAGCATTTCACACTATGGCATGCTGCTATCCCGAGGACAGCGGGGGCCAAACACTGCATGAGGCAGAGGACAACAGAAACCCAATGCTGGGAACCCAAAGCTTCAGGAGCTCAAGGCCTGGTGACTGGAGCCCAAAGCACAGCTTCAGGAGCCCAAAGCCTGGCGTCTGGAGCTCAAATCAGCAGCACCAGCTCCGACAGCAACGAGCTCAGCCATGCTGAGAGCTGGAAACACACACTGTACTCAGACAGAAGAAATCCAGCTCTGTCAGCAACCCCGCGCAAACAACTCCAGCCACCACGTTTGGACTTATCCAGCTCTGTGCCCGAAGCTGGCGATAGCACCGTTATTTACAAACCGCCCTGCGATTCGAGGCTGAAAATCGCACCCTGTGCCAGGTTGACACATCGTGCCATCCATGCCCAGGCTGACGGCACCCCAGGTTACCGCCCGTCCATTACCGCGAGATCCCTGCGGGTGCCGGGACTCAACCTCGCCGACCAGCGTCCTGCGGTGACCGGGCAGAAGCCGATTCTCCTCCCAAGCTCCGGAGCTGAGAGCTCCCCGGCCATTTATTTCCACTCTTCCGTCCCTGCAGCTTTCACCCTTCGGGCCCGGCGGAGCTCAACGCCGGCAGCGGCCGCAGGGAACGGCGGAACCGCGGAGTCGCGAGGATTTCCAGGTTCCAGGGAGCGCTGAGGCCGTGCGGCCGAGAGCGGCGGAAAGCAACAGAGCGCCGTTCTACGGGACGGGCACGGCACCGCCCGCACCCACCGACGCTCCGTCCCGGCTCTGCGAAGCCATCCCCAGCCGCCGAGGATCGGCGACGGCGCGCTGGGTCTTCACGCCCGAAGCGTCGCTAACGGCTCCGGGGGGAGCGGCTCCGGCGCCGGGCCCCACCTGGGATGACCGCCCCACGGCCCTCCACCGCACCGGGCCGCACCGCGGGGCCTGGGATCGGGGGGAAGCGGGGGGATCCCCACGGCCTCCCGGCCCAACAGCGGCCTCGAGGCCGCCCCGCAGAGCCGTTCCGCCGAGCCCGGCCCGGCCGCGAAGAAAACTTTCCCGAGCGCGGCGCCGGGGTTTACCTGCGAGCGGCTCCGTGGCGCTGCGCCGCCGCCGAGGCCGCGCTCCCCGAAGGGCGGGAGGGGAGGGGACGGCGGGAAGGGAAGGGGAGGGGAGCGCGGTGCCGCCGCCGCCCGCCCGGAACGCCGCGCCGCCCCCGTTCCCGCCCGGAACGCTTTCGGGGGCGCACGCGGCCGCCCCGCCGGGCAGCGCCGGGCCAATGGTGGCGCGACGCGGCCCCGCCCCGCCCGCACGGCGCATACGCGGGGCAGGGCGGGGGGGGCGAACGGATGAGGTGGTGGAGGTCTTGTGCTGCCTGCGTGGGAGCCGTGGCCCTGCAGAGGGTTTTGCCCTTGTGTGGGGCCTTCGTGGGGTCTGCATTTCTGTGCAGGACCTGTAAACCTCTGTGGGTTCCGTACGTGGCCTAAGTGAGCTCGTTATTGTTCTCATGGAGCCTGTATCCCCTGCGTGGGACCTGTACCCCTATATATAACCTGCATGGGGTCTGTACCCCTATATAGAGCCTGTGTGGGCCTGTATCCCTATATAGAGCCTGTGTGGACGTGTACCCCTATATAGAGCCTGTGTGGGGCCTGTACCCCTATATAGAATACACAACATTGGCAGGGAGTTCCCACTCCTCCCCATTCTGATTCTCACAGAGGTTCCTGTGTCTGCCAGAGCAACCCACAGCGCACGGCCTTGCTGAGCTCCCCAACCCCGGTCTTGTGGGGTGTGCCGTGGGAACAGCAGCTGAGTGGGCAGGGGCACGGTGCATGGCAGGCAGCACAGCCCTGCTGCTACGTGCCTCACATTCCCCGTGCTGTGGGTGCTCACGGCCAAGGGCAAAGCACGCTGAAAATGTGCCCTGGTTCTGTGCTGCTGTTCAGAGCTGGGAGGATGCGTTCTCACAGAGCCAAATCAGAAGGTTTGGTGGCACTCGAGCCACTTGCGCACTCCAGTTCTGCCCCTGCTGCAGGAGCCTCCAGTTGGGAGTTTTGCTGCTCTGGTTCATCTCTCTCCATACACATTCTCCTGGTGCAGCACAGTGAAAGTGGGGATGGGCCCCAGGGAGTGGGGCTGTTGAAGGCCGGTGGCGAACCCCCACATGGGGCCCATCATGTGCAGCATTCAGCTGATCCCAGCACTGAATCACAGCCTTTGTTCTCCACCAGCAACCTAGCATTGTTTATGTCTCTCACAAAAGGACTGTTTATCGTGTCGGGCACAGAAAAGTCCTGTAAAGAAAGAACACACTGTGCTGTGGAGTCCCAGTCCCCCAGGAGCCTTCCCCATCACCCCCCATAGCAGTGTTTGTTCAAAGCAGAGATCTTTCTGAGTGCCCCTCATTTCCCAGCAATCAATAGCAGTGGTGTGACAAAAAGTCCCACTGCCTGTGCAGGCTTTGTGTCATCCCCCTGTGCCGTTTCTTTCCAGCTGCTTGCAGTGATGGTGACAGGTCAGCAAGGCAGAGTGTTACATGAAAATGAAATCTTTCCTCTTTTCTGTCAGTTCTAATTTAAATTTCAGTTTCCATAGCTGGGATAACTGACTTTGTCAATGAATTTGCCTCTGTAAGTGCCACAGACAGAAGAGAGGAATGAGGCCTCCACAGCTCTCATTAGTGATGCTGGCACTGCTCCGCTAGCCAAAACCAGGCAGGGATACTGCCACAGACACACTAGCCCCCTGGGCTTCTGACCCAACTTCAGCCACTGCTGAACAGCCCAAGATCTGAGGAGAAACTGGCCTGAAGGAAAAGCTCAAATGCTGGGATTGCAGGGTGCCACTGCACCACCTTGTCTGAGCCCATCAAGCTTCCATGGTTTGCCTTCCTTGTGCTTTCTCCAAGGCAGCCTCTCTCATGCTTAAGAGATCATCTCTGCCAACAGCTGACAAGTGGTTCCTTCAGGCTTTTCCCTTTCCTTATTTTGCGGAGAGCCCATCAAAGTCCTCCTCCAGGACTGAGGTTAGTGGTGTGCTCAGTCTGCACAGGCTCTCCAGTCTCTCCATTTCTTAGTTTGTTAATGCTTTTCTCACATGGGTGGATAAAGATTCTCTTCTTGCTCTTCTCCACTGCCAAATACCCATGCACCCTGCTCCTGGCCAGGACTTCTTGCAACCACACACTGCATAAGGAGCATTAAGCAACAAGTACTTCTGCAGACAAAGACAACTGAGCAGCTCAGCTCCTCTCTCCTGCAGTAATCCAGCTGCAGAGTCCAGAGGCTGCTATGTCATGTCCTCCAGCAACTGCGCACTGTTCCACTTACCTATATGGAGCCTATTCACCTCAGTGCTTTTATTGGTACTGCTCTTCCAGACATGCGACGGTCTGCTCCCAAATGTCGACCCTGATTTCATCCAATGCTGTGACCCTGTCACTGCAATTCAGAGTCTCTGTGGAGCAGCCCTGTCCCGGGATGCTGCCAGACATCCAGCAATCACAGCCACTTCTGTCAGCAGATGCTAAACTTGGAAATGCAGGATGGTTCTTAAAATACATCCTGGCACCTTGGTGGGAATTGGGCCTGGCTGCAAAATGCAGAGCAAGGAAAGAACTTTTTGGAGGAGAGTGCAGGCAGCAGGCGTGAGTCTGCCAAGATGACTCGATCCTGCTGGAATCCAATCTGATTTTATCAATGCAGTGCTCTCAGCATGGGGCATAGTGATGAAGGGTGACAAATGCTTTCCCAGCAGTTTGGCAAATGACTTAAAGTGACATTACTGCAGTGTCACCTGCACAGCAGTGCTGTTTGGAGGGGCTCTAACTCTGTACAACCCTGAGAGAAATTGGTGTGAATCTACATTGTGGCTGCTTCTTTGCTCATCCTGCATGCAAAAGCAATCCTTAGCAGAACGCAGGTCTGTATCCGGGGGTACTAACACAATACGAATGGTGATAGCAGGGCAGCTTCCAAATTTGCTCACCTTCTGCCCTGCCAGGGTGGCAGGAATGGCATAATGCCATCCCTGATGCCAGACACTGCGTCCCTTTGAAGGACAGTATGGTTCCATTCTTGCTGCTCTCTATGGTGCCATCACTCTTCCAGCAGCATGATGCAAGCTGCACAAAGCTGTGTGGAGTCTCACCCACCTACATCAGCTCTGGCCTGTCCACTCCAGCCCTCCAGAGTCTGCTTATGGATTTTATTTTATTTTTTCCCATTTGAGTGAAAACTTTCTCAGAATTTCCTGGCTGGAAATCTCACAGCAGCTCCTGCTCAAGTCGCTCCTCAGGTGCCAGATAAATAATAGTGCTTTGCACTTCTAAAGAGCCTTTCATCTGAGGTCCTGGGTTTACTCTGTTCACTTCATAAACGTGGGAGCAGCCCTCAGTTCTGGGAGGTTTATAGACCCTTTGCATTCCCAATGTGTCAGCTGCAAGGTGGTGGAGGATAGCAGGATTCCCAACATCCAGCCCCAACGTGCCATAGCAGAAAGTAAAAACTTCACTCTGGACAGCCCAGTGCCAACTGCTGAAAATGCAAGGTCTGAGCATCACCTTGTGTTATCCTTTTCAGAGCATGAGCAAAGGAATGGTACAAGATAAATTGCTTTCACTCAGTTTCTTTGTGATGAAAGTGGAGCCTTCAGTTGGTTGTTTGGGTTTCAGTTGGATCACTGTCAGAAATCATGTGAGAGAGAAAATAATGCAGGAAAATTGAAGAGTGTGGCAGTGCTGGCAAGAGCTTTGCTTTGTAAAACCCCAAAGGAGAAATCAAATCTCAGCTGACTCTGGGTTTGGATGGACTTGGTGCACCCGTGAACTGCTCAGTTTAATTTTGTGACAGCTGGGGTGGACTGTCTTTTTTTTCATGCCATGAAAATTAAAACAAACAAACAAACGTACATACAAAAAAAACCCCACATATTTTAAAACAAATTAAAAGCCCATAAAAACAGAGGCAAACAGAAGCCTTGGGTCACATTTGTCTTGGATACTGAATATTACCACCCCTTCTATGAAGAGCAAGGAAGACAAAATGCGTACATGGGGTCTCTGGCTTTTGGCATGGAAGCCTCTGCTGGCTGATGCTGCTGTCGAGCCCCAGGTGCCCTCCCTGAGGTTCACACTGAGTTTGCTCCCTTGTGAGCACCAAAAATCAGTGCTGCTCCCTAGCCTCAGTATAGCCATGCTGCACTGGGAGCAGTCTCCAAGAGCTGACTCCCAGGGTTCTAAGCTTCCAAACTCTTCCAGTTTCGCAACAGTGATCCTCACTCCTCTGGCAGCAAGGAGCATCTTCACACAATGGGCAAAACAAATAGGTTTTCTGCTTCTTCTGAAGCTTCAGACATCAATCATCAGTAGAAGAAATAGGCAATGTGTCCAGCACAGCACAGGGTAACAAAGCAAAGCTAAAAGCCTGCCATCCTTCCAGCATCCCCAACAGCCTCACAGCATGACAAGCCAGCACCTCTGTAGCACTTTGCATCACAGATGCAAAGGGAGATTAAAGTACAGCCCTGACCGAGTGCAATGACTCGCTGGATTTGCTGGGGGACGTTAGGATAAAGCAGTAGAGTGCCATAAAGAGGATAAGGGATTGGAGTCGGCGAGGATAAAGAGAGAGGAACAGATGGTAAGCACTGCCAAGACGCCAGAGAAGTGAGCTCAAGACATGGGCTGCTGTTGACAGTGCTCTGTACAGCACTCATCTCTGCAGCAAAGAGAAATGTATGACAACAGAGCATGGGGATTTGGGGGACACAGTCCTTTCAGCTTTACTTGGCCTTGACCAGTTGGCTCTGGACTGACTTGTGAAGATGTCTTAAAGATGATGAAAGGCTTTTCTTGCCTTAAAACTCACTGGAGTTTTTCCAAAATTGCATGGAGTGGCCAATTAACTCCACATAATTGATGTATGTGTAGTGTTTCCAAAAGGCAGTTGCTGAGGTTCTGGACCCAAAAGCACCTTTGGTGTTTTTTTTTTTCTTTTTTTCTTTTTTTATGTTTTCCCCCATCACTGTTAAAAGGAGGAACATAATAAGATTATGAAAAAATAATGAGGTGAAGTGAACCACTGCACATAATGAAGTGCACTCATTTTCCAAGGGCAACAGGAAACCACAAGACTTACTGTAGGCCAGCTGAATAGATGCAGAAATGGTTCCCAAGGCAGTTAAAGGAGTTGCTTCTATTTTCTG